AGGGGTGTGTTGGAAGGGGTGGGGGGGGGGGGGGGAAGAAGTTTCCAACCGCAGGGAGGAAGGGAGGAAACTGCAGGGCCACAACCCAACGGCCTTGACTGGAAAGGATGGCTAGGGTGCAGACTGCACCCTGGCAGCCCTGCACAAGCGTGGGGGTGCCCAGGTGCTTCTCACATGGCGTCTTGTCCCCTGTCTCCAGGTGCATAGGGCGGACCTGTCTGATCCCCACACAGGAATCCGCCCACCTCCCAGAGAACAACATGATTGCTCCCCGTGCTGCATCAAAGAGCCTGAAAGTACAACGCAAGGGTAAAACCACCTGATTTGATTTAGTAACTTGGTGTCAGAGACATATGCAAAGTGGGGACAGGAAGAAGACTGAGCAGGCCAGGAATAGCAGGGGAACATGGCCCTACTCTTAGCTACATGAGTCACCCAGGCCTGGAATAACCATGGAGGTCTGGGGCAGGGCTGAAGGCTGTCACACATCTTTTCACTCTGGGGACCGCTACAGACATGGAACTAATGCTACAACCTTTGCGCTTAGAAACAGGATATAAATAACACAGACAACAAGAAAACAAATAGGGCCCTACTGGGTCTGCTGTGATGGGAAAGGTATATGCAGCTATTCCTGGGGATGCTGCCCCTATGAAAACATAGGAAGGTGTGGGAGGCAGGAGACACTGATTCTGCAGGGTTGGCCTTAGGGATAGTGGCACAGTCACAGGCCATGAAACACAAAGGAGGTCTCAGCACAGACACACCAACTGCTTAGATTTCTCCATACCTTTCTGTAGTGGGGTCAGAGCAGTTGAGCGGGTACCGCAGGTCAATGATGGTTCCATCTTTGTCCTGCAATGAACCCTGTTGCTGCGTGTAGTACTCCACTAGTTCTGACAAGGTGGCAAACTTCTCCCCTCCATACAGGTCATAGAAATCCCCGGTATTCTGGATACGGATGTGAGTTACCTGGTCACCAACCCTGTGGGATGATGCAGAAAGCAGTCCAGTGAGGAGGTTGGAAAAGCTGCAGAAAAGTTGGAGTCCCTGCATTATCTCCTGCCATGGAACTAGAGCAAACCAGCTCAGTGAAAGGAGAGGACTGGAAAGCTCCTGGGGCAACTTGAGGGAAGGTCTGGAAGATGATGGGAAACTCCAGACCTTTTACAGCTTGGAGAGAACTCAAAGGAATAAAAGTAGGGTGAAGGAGAGGCCAGGACACAGGAGGACCTAAGCATTCTGAATATGTAACCCTGGAAAGGCAGAAGCTGGGGTCTAAGTTACCTACCGAACTGAAAGAGAAAAGTCTCCCTGATTCTTCCGACTGGGCCTGGCTAGAAAGCTCCCATGGACACCCCGTCCCTTCAGCAAGGCTTCAGCTTCCAGCCCACTCAGGTCACGGTGAAACCACCTAGCAGAGGAGACAAAAACAGGACCGAGTGAGTGAAAAATACCGGGCATTATTTGTGGAAATTTGTACAGTGAAGTAGGACAGTCCTCAGCCGGCACCCCTAGAGGGATCCCACATCCATACAGGTGACAGCCAGCAGGAACATAATAAAACCTTTCATCTATGATACATGCCCCAGTCCATGAAAGGTTTCAACTGAGATACAACTACCAGGATGATCCCCTCTGTTCTGTCCTACATCCCTGGTCCCTCTCCCTACCCACACACCTCTCAGTCCCTCTTACCTCACCATTGTGGAGGGGGAGAGGAAAGGGGGCCAACTGGCTACCACCAAAGCAACTCAACAAACACAGAGGAAAGATCTCTCTGTGCTGGTGAGAAAAGGGAAGTCGGAGGTCTGTGCCGGAGCGCCCAACACCAAGCTGTTTCCGTGTCTCTTGGGAGCTGGCCATGTAGCTCTCCTGGTATCTATTGTTAGTCCATTCAGCCCGTCTCCATCAACCTCACTCTGGACACGTCCCTTATTCTCCTGGTCCTCTGTGCACTGCTGTTCAGCACAGACAAGAGTAACCTGGCGCGCAGCTGGGCACGCGCAGCTCCAGGAACAGGAAGCGCTCTGAGCCATCGACTCCCCAGCCCCAAGCTGCTTTGCACACACTTCTGCTTCTCATTTTGCGTCTTTCCTCCTCCTCCCCCCATTATTTTGGGGTCCTTGCCTTTTTTCACAGTGGAGTTGACTCACCAAGTGCTTCTTGGATCCCAGCCATGCTCGCAAAGTTCAGTTCTACAAGCCATCTCTTCCCCTTGCTCCCTAAGGGGCCAGTAACAGACATCAATGCCTCCCCCCCCAACAAGTCCTTGCAGTAGTGCCAAGTGCACCACAGCTGCCTGAGGTCACCCATGCATCTGCAAAAGCTAAAGCAGGCAGCACATGCTAGCATACATTCAGCAATGAAACATTTGAGTTTTTGACCAGCCACCCCGCTTGGGTTCTCCCGGGCTGCTCTCAGCTACCTAGCTGAAACCTCCATGCTCCAGCTCATCAATGAATAAGTCACACAGCTACCCTCTGGGCAGATAAATATCCTATGCGCTCTATACAGCCACAGAGGGAATCTGTGCAAACCCAGAACAGACTTGCAGGCTTTGCGGCCCAGGCTAGCACTCTGAGCACAGCATTGTCTTCCCACCCATTCCCAAAACACAGCCTGGCTCCAGAATGTTCCTGTGACAGAAGCATTAGTAGCTTAGAGGCAGGTGAATCCACTGAGAAAAGCAGGCACAGAGCAGGACAAACAGTTATCAGCTAAGGCTGGCACAGACAGTTTCAAAAGAGTGCAGTCTAGCACCTGCAAGGTCCCAAGACAGCATACAGAGGCTAAACTTGTCAATTTGGACAACCAAATAAGAAGAAAACTAACAGTTTACAGCCCATGACTGCCTCTTCTCTTAGCACTGGCTTTAAGGTCTGCAATTCTCATGAAAGATTGAGAGCTATGGGGTGGCCAAAGAGGGCAATCCAAATGGTAAGAGAGCCTGACTCTTCCCTGGGGCCATATCACAGCTACTCTGTGTGGTAGCTGAGGCGTGAAGTGCGGGCAGCAGGAACAGTAAAAGATTTGCTAATTTCAAATATGGGCAGCTACAAACTTCTCTGCACACCACCAGACTGGGAAATCCTGCAAAGCAGCTGAACAGACTGCTAGTAATGGCCAAGACATAACTCGTGGCCAAGGGAGATATTGAAACTAGCAACAAAGGGAAGTACAGGAGAGAATAGGAAGCGAAGCTTTATTGCTAGAAAGACGATTTAGGCATCTACACCACCTTCATTTGAAATGCTTCCAGTTTCACATAGATGATCAGCAGGGACATGGTAAGTTGCAGGGCGCCTACTGTACAGACCTAAAACATGGGAAACTTTAAAGGCCCAGAGAATTGTGGCCCAAGGGAATAGCCTTTACACAAAGAATGGGCTGCACTCAAAGACAGAAAAGAGGCAGACCAGAGCAAGAGAAGCTCTGGGCAGAAGTCCCAAAAGGGAACTCCTGCTATCAAAAGGATATTAGATTATGTGGGGTTGATAGGAAGCCATAGCAGACAAAAGTAAAACCAAGGCATCTCTGCACTTTATGAACTGGACGAAGCAGAAAATCTGTCCAAGGAAGAGAATGTTACTGGGACACAGGGGAGTGCGGAAGGAACAAGGTGCCAAAGAGCCCCAATCAGGATAGAAAGGGTAAGTTAGAGCTAAACCCATGTAATTCGGTATCCTCCAGTTAGGCAAACCACTGGGAGCAGTGTAGCCCATAAGGCAGTGTCTGTGCGGATACAAATCCCAAATCACATAATTTACAAAGTGAATTTATACTTGTAATTGCTTCCACGTCAGAAAAGAACTAGGTGTGCACAGGTGATCCAGATCAAAGACACCAAGACAGATAATAAAAAACTACCGGTGAAGAGTTCCAACTGATAAGCTGGGCAAATATCACAGTGGGTTAAATTTAGAGAAGCAATTGCTTGGTATCTTTGAAGCTGTTCTCTGTAAAAGTTGGCGCATACAACAACAAACTAATTGAGCCACTGAAATACTTTCTTCATGTAATTAACAGGTCAAGAGATTTCAGCATCAAAGAGATTATTCTTATGGTGTAGTCTGGCCTTCAGTACAACACAAACTGTAGAACCTTATCTTCTAAATCCTTTGTGGAGCTAGGCCACAACGGGCACAGGAATCAATTTAGAAAGGAGGATAAATGAAGGAGCCAATTAAAAGATGCTCACATATGGACTACTGGGGAGAAAAAAAGAAAAAGGACATTGACAAACTGCAGAAAGTCCAGTGATGAGACACATGAAGATAGGCAGAGGGAGCTGGTTTTGTTCAGCCTGGAGAAGGCTGAGGAGGGATTGAGGAGGGATTTAATAGTCTGACACTACCTAAAGGGGCAGGGAAGGAGAGGTTAGCAATGATGGAGCCAGATCCTTCTCAGAGGGACACAGCAAAAGGACAAGAGGCAACAGGCATAACTTGCATCAAGAGAAATTCTGAATAGATATAGGAACAATTCCACACACACACTCCTGCCCAAGAGTGGTTCAGCAACGGCACAGGTGCCCAGAGAGGCTGGGCAATCTCCAGTCTTGGAGATGTTCAGGGCTCACTTGGACAATGCCCTCACTAACTTGTAGAGTCAATCTTTGAATCCACAAGATATTTAGCATCCTTTGACAAGCAGTTCCACTGCTGAACTACAGAACCACCACCTCCTTTGGTTTGCTTATGACCTGTTCCCTGCCCATTTTTATTAACAACCGACTGTTGTAATGAAAGAAAAAATCAATGACTGATTCCTCTGGTTCCTACTCACTCCCTCCAAGCCACTCATGAATTTAGAGACCTGTAACTTCTGATTCCTTCCTTAGCTCTTTTCCAGGCTGAAGACTCCAACCCTATTTAGATGTTCTGTGTACAGAGCTATTCTACATCTCTAATCATCTTTACTGTCCTTCTCTGAGCCTTTTCCAACTCTGCTATATCATTTTGGAGATGAGGATGAAGTGGGACCCCAGAACTGCACATAGCATTCAAGATGTTGGTGAGACATGGACATATACAAAGACATAACTATGATTTCTGCTTATTTGTTCACTGCACCTGAGCATTGAGCTAACATTTGCATGCACTTATGTATTATGAGATCACAGTCTTACTCCAGAGAGGTTATGATCATTTCAGAGTTCTTTTTTTATAGGTGAAGTTTGAATTATTTTCCTCCATGAACATTGCTTTACATATACCCATTTTGAATTTCATCTGCTGTTCTATTACCCACCCATTCTCTATCATAAGTTCGTTCTGCAGTTTTTCACAGTTGACTCCCACTCTATTATCCTAAATATCTTTCTGCCATCAGCCAATTTTCTCATCTCACTGTTTACCCTCTTTTTCCAGGTCATTTAGGAATATACTGAACAGCACATATCCCAGCTCAGACCCTAGTGATCTGACCACTGGTGACTACCCTTTGCTGTGAAAACTGGATATTTATGCCCATCTTCCATTTCTTATTTTCTACTAATTCTTTACTCAAGAAAAAAATCTTCCTCTCTCTTATGCCATGGCTTTAGTTCTCTTTAAAAAGTCTTTAGTTCTCTTTAAAAGTCTTTGATGAGGGGAAACTTGTCAAATCCAAGCAAACTGTATCAGCCAGATCTCCCTTATCCACAAGCTTGCTAAGTCCCTCAGAGAACTCCAGTGTTTTTTCAAGACGAGATTTGCCTTTACCAAAGTAGATAGGGACTCTTTCTTTAATGTCATATTCATTCCTTTTTCTATTATAGTGTCTAATCTCTTGCTCATTCTAGATATCAATTTTATTGGTCTGTGGTTCTCATTTGAACCCTTTTTAAAAATCAGCACTGCATTTGCCACCCGGTAACTCTCAGCACCAAGGTAAAGCATAGGCAGGAAGTTGCAGTTTTACACAGAGCTACATAGTAGTTCAGCTGCAGCATTCTTGCACTGTTAGAGCTGCCAGATAAAGGCCATCTGCTCTGGGGGAATGGGCAGATGGACCATCTTCCTGGGACTTGCCCAAGCCAGATGCTCTCTGGCAGGCTACAGGACCACAGGACAGTGCTGGACCACAGTGGCTGCCCAAGCAGAACCTAACCATAGATTAACCCTGGTGCTAATCCCATTTCTTTATACCATGTTGCTGACGTCCCAACAACAGAGCACCCATTTGGATTGACGGTGAAGAGCATGTGTCTTGTCAATTAGACTCTAAAGACAGTAACAAATCAATAAATAATCAGGCTTTAAAAAGGTCTGCCACCTGATCTCTCTCTGTACAAAAATGTTTTGAAATGCTGCAGCTGCAGGGCCTGCAGAAGGCAGAAAAGTAGTTGTATTGGACTGGTCATCACAAACTCTTCTCTCTCTTTATACAAGTGAGGAGGAGCAGCAGCGACAGCAGTCTAACTCACTGTGAACCTAGTCCTCCAGCTCTCCAGTAGTTCCTAGTATAAGGTGTTCTTTTTCCCCTCTACACCTGATTCTTACTTCCATTATTTTTTTCTCACCAACAACACTGTTTTCTACCCCTAGCTAGCATACACAACACTCACCCACAGGATGGCATTGGGATCTTGACCGGCAGATCCCCACAGATAGGGGACTAACAGCAAGCAGCAGGTGGAGGGAGTACCACAGCCCTTAACCAGGGGGTCCTACTAAAAAAAAAAAAAAAAAAGTATTGGAAGTATCAACACAGTAGTATCTGAAATGGACTTGGGAGAGAGATCAAACAACTTGACAGAGCAAGTCAAGACCTAGACCACCCTAGAGACATGGCTGGATGCTCACCATGGTTCGTTCCACAGCTCCGGAAGGAGCAGCCGATAGTGCTTTGGGTCTGCTGCAAGCCCTATGACTCACCTGTATCTGATCCGCACGGGAAGAGTTCTGAACTCGGCCTGTTTCTGGTGTGGACAGAGGAGAAGGTAGCTCCAGGTCAGGCAAACAGCAGGCCTCAAGCAAAGGGTTTGATTTTCACCATTCACAAAACACTTCCTGGGCTGTAGTTAATAAATAATTAGAAGGGGGGGGGGG